GCCTAGTGCCTTTGCTCTCCTACATGTATTTCAACTGGGAAAATCCCTTTTTGGCTCGCCAATATCTCCTGAACGTCATATTGCGAGAATAGCCTGAATTATCCTTTGCATATTTTCCTCTTGATAGCTCTTTTTTAGCAGAAATGCTCTATGATCCAGCCATTATTATAGGCTTAATGTCGCTTTTGTATAGTACATTATTGTGGCAATCACAACCTGTTGTGATAACCGTGTGACGACGAGACCTGACGATGGCTACGGAAACTGCCGCTATTTACTGCTGGTGCAGAACGAGAGCAGAACTAGTTATGTATTCTACGGTCGAAGTACACAACACAACTCACTATCAACAAAATTGTCTCCCCCTCCCTTCCGCTATCCTAAGGCCCCCTTTAGGTATCAGTTTAGGTTAAAGGATATGGCTTATGTGGCCTTGACGCGAATGCACGAATATAGCAGCAAATTCCAAACGATCTGCCGAGTTTTTCTGATAGAGTTTGACCTAAATATGAATGTCCTTTCAACAATCATTAACTCTGCCGTCGTCTTTGACAGATATGGTGATATCGTTGGTACATCGCCGTCGAGCCCCCGAATGATATGTGATAGGATAGGAATCTCATCTCATGGCGACGATTTGGAATGTGCCCCCCCTACGACAGCGACGACCTCATTTGACCGGAAGAACTTAGCGAAAACAATAATAGGAGTTATGATACGTTCCCAAGAGGAGTAGAATTCCTTTATGTTGGGTAAGGAATTTAGCGATAATGAAACTTGGTAAAACGAGAATGTTTAGCTTTATTGCAGGGAAAAAACCCAAACTTTATAGAAAGACGACGCTTAGGGAAAGGTTTTGCTAAGGGCTGTTGGTAAGGATCTTTCCTTACAACAAGTTGATTTGAAAGTTTAACAATAAACCATTTTTTAATCCATTAAGCATTATTGCCTATTCCAACTCCTCTTTTGTTTTTATCTGAACTTAGTAAAGATTAACCATCGAATTACTCTTTGTTTTTATTCTATTAAGCTTACTTAAAATTATTTGAAATTTACCAAATTATTCAACTTAAATTTAATATCTCTTTTCAGAAGTTGTGGGAATGAGTACTCTAATGTGTCAGACTATATGAAAAAATAAATGCAACTAAATGTGCAAGTGTTAGCTAGGTCCAAGATTAAAAGAATGATCCTAAATTCAACACTAAACACTGCCTTCCTACACAAAGAATCTTCCGAATAATATGCTAATGTAACATATTGTACGCTAATGTTCTCAACTATTTGAAAGATGTTCGACCTGCGAAAAAGCGCTATTGTCCAGATTCTTGGAATAAAAAAAAAACTGTGAAAAGCTCTTATGTCTTAAAGGGAGAGCTTAAGAACCATATTATTGTGCATACTATGTGTAGAATTACACTTGATCTCATTTTTCTATAACCAATTCATATTAGGTTGTAACTCATTACTAAGGATGGATATGAAAAAAATGAATATGTATGAAATTATGTGCTCTTAAATGTGAATCAAAACTTCCAAAAATCTGACTATCAACGATCAGGAATGAGAAAGGAAGCACTGTCACATTACACAGATATAACATTTATTTAGAAAAGAAAAGAACCGACCGAACCTAAGTTCAACATAGCTTTTTAATTGCTCTATTTCCATCAATTTCATCTAGATTTGAAACGGAT